AAGTTTAAAAAACAGAACTAAATTAAAAATATTACAAGTGCTTAATGTTCACCCTAACCATTCAAGGACATCAAATATGTTTCAGAACACCCCACTATACAAATTGTTCACGGACATCAAGTAAGCTTCAAAACAAGTAAATTAATACTGTTTGTTCCTTGTAGAATAAATTTTCTTCCTCCTAAATGCCAGTGACTACATTTTCCTTCCCGACTTCGGTTGAAGAGGTTGTTCAATATATTCAGTTATATCCCTCATGTCTTGTCTTGGTCATTACCAAGTGTTATACGATATACCATGGAATCCATTGGAATAAGGTAGGGGCTAGATGTCGATAGTAATACCTCCTTATGGGGTGAGTGTTTGACATAGATGACCAAGCATATGTATAAGGGGGTTTTAACCGGGGCATGCAAGAGGATAGCAAGTCAATGCGAGAAGGAGAATATACATGGACCTAGGTTACTATATTTAGCCTTTACATCTTAGATTCATACTATTCTCCTACTTTCATCTAGGTGTTCTTCTCATCCTAGAACCATCAACCAACATCGCCTCCACCTTCTAACTTGTTGTCGGTAGCCTCTTTTAGGCATGTCTATACCACCTCAATCTCCTCCCCTTAAACTTTCAATTACCCGCCACACTCCAAACAACTTTTTATTAGTCAAATTCAATATATTATTCAACAAAATTATGCCGCAACTCTTCATTCCTATTACTTTCATCCTCCCATACTCCCTTTTCAGCCAACATTCAGATCCATATATCATAGAATTACATTGTAAAAAAAATCTCTTGGCTTCGGCGGAACCTTCTTGTCATACAAGACTCATATTGTCGTCCTCCACTTTAGCCAACCTGCTTTGATGCAATGCGACACGTCTACCTCCACGCACCTCCCTTATGGATCAGAGACCTTAAATACTAGACACTCCCTTATATGTGTAAAGCTTACTCCCTTGTAGTTGCATCTATTCCTCCCTTGAAATTACATCAAAGATATTTGGTGTTATCAAGTGTTATACGAGCATAATGAAAGTAGGTCAGGTTACCATCGTAACCTAACTATTACATAACAAAATTTATCACTATCTAATAAATCCACATTATGTTCTTAACCATTAGCATAACTTTTTTTTCCTAAAAACAATGTAAAAATGTTCAAAGTCATGCACCTTGATCAACAGTTTCATGATCATCTATAAACATAAAAATATACTTATGCAACACCATTTAACAATCAAGAACTAAACAAGTGCTTTGTTCACATCATAAGTAAAGAAAACTCCCAAGACACCAACATGCATACGAACACATTTGGAACTTACCATATAATCCACAAGAAAACACTTCAAGTTTTAGGCACAAGAACATAAAACAAATACTAAATTCATGTAAGGAATGTTCAAAATCTTAATTAAGACCAAAAACATGATATATCATTAGTTTATGTATACACGGCTACACCTACAACACCCACGAATGGATAAAGATGATGAAAAGTTGAAAACTATAATCAAAACAAAACCAACATAATTTGATTATCATGTAGATTGTGCAATAAAACAATTGTTACAATTCTCAAAGACTACAACCCTTTTAACACAAGTCAAAATTGCGAGTGGACAACAAAATCTAAACCTCTCATCCATAATTTCTTCAACTTAATAATGTAGCATTGCCTTTAAGTGTCCTTCTTGCACGCCAATGTACTGCAGCAGCACTTTCCGATGTCCCCATCTGCACATAAACCAAGACATGACTTAATCTGGTAAGCTATATATCAGTGTCCTTTTTTACTTGATACAAAAAAGAATTGATTTCATGAAAAAGTACGAAAAAAAAGGAAATAAAACTTTTCCTTCATTTTAACATTATTTCTTTCATATCCCTAAGTTTCGAAAATATTTTTCTTTTGAATTTTTTTTTTTACCTTGGACTCCATAGAGTGATAATCTTGCCACAAACTCGCATCTTGATCATATGTTGAAAGTGCAGCTTCATATAATTTTCGGGTTTCTACAAGATTAGCCTTTGAAGCAGCAGATGCAATGTTCATTTCCATTTCAATGCAATTTTTATAAAAAACAAGACCAGGGTGAGGTAATGCAAGAAACCTGCATATTACAAAATGTTGACAAAAAATCACATTATAAAAAATTTCATTTTTTGCTCATAACCGAAGGTAATAACAAGAAAGATAAAAAGCGTATTCAACAAAAATCGATATTTATTAGTATATATGAATCTTTATTAATGACATACCTTTTGTACATGTCTCTTGCACTCTGAATTCCATTTTTTTGTAGAATAAAGTTTACAATTGTGGAAGAGAGGGAGAAACCATCATCACTACCACCATCTCTGGTCAAACAACTTACAGAAATATCCACCAGCTTATCAAAATATTGCTTCTGATTTGCAAAATATTTCAAACCCTTCACAATAAATAGCAATTAACATAATAAATATTCAAACTTTATACTTATGAGTAACTAGAAACAAAATAAAGATGATTAAAAAAATAGTATACCATAAGCCAGAGGCTCTCAGCTTGTGAAACAGCAATTTTCCTAAGAGGGTTTTGCAGGAGATTAAACACAGATGACAAATCATCTTTTGTTGGAGTGTTTATACGTTTCATTTCTATTGAGAGGCGTAAATCCCATAAACTGGCTGCTTTTGAAAGCTCACCATTGCAAAGTTTTTCTGCTAAGTTTCTAGCATCATCTAATCTTCCAAGTTCTAACAAAAAAGATACATTTTGATATGCAAGATCTTCTGTAATGCACCCCGTACTTTGAGCCTTTTCATAGATCTTTAGAACATGTGAAACAAGATCTATATCAGAAACCCTAGAACTTTGATGAACAATTGTGTCCATCAAGAATTTGATGTAGAGATCGAACATTGTTGATGATGGTACAATCTTTAAAGCTTCATCATAAACCTACAGAAAAAAGAAGGTGAATCTTGAAGTTATGAAGGTTTTACATTTACCAAAACACTAAAGATTTTTATTTCAATTATTTGGGGTACCTGAATTGCATTGTGTAAATGATCTTTCTTTACATCTTGTGTACTATTATGGCCTGCTGCTTCATTCTTTGCAAGCCAATCCCAGTATCCTGTTTCTTTTGAAAATTGATTTCTCATGTCAGAAAGTATCTCCTTTTTCATAGTTTCTGAATTTGCCAAATTTGTTGCCTCTAGTATCTCAAGAAATTGTGTTCTCATGGTGAAACTGGAAGGTAGTGCGTCCACTGCACATTTGTAAACAGTTTGAAGGATGTTCAAACCTTGTTCACGGAAGACATTGATTTTCTGTTTCAGTTCCTCATTTTGTACATCTAAATCTTTATGATCTTTAGTTTCTCCATCAATTGGCATAAATAGCTCTTTGTTTTCGTCTCTCCATTGTTTATCTTCAGGCTCATGGCCATCAGTAACCAATGTTGCAACATCTTCTCCAAGAGCAGACCTACGAGCACTTAACTTATTAAGGTATGTGAGTTCCATTCTGAGATATTCCACCCATAGAGCTTCAGATGTTGGGCAACATCTCAAACCACTTTGCATAAGTGCACGAGCAGCTGCAGCATTTAGGTTATGATCAAACTCCCATGAAGCTGCATATATCCAAACTCCAGGTACTTTTGGGTGAAATCTAATCACCTGAGCCAGAACCTGAAAGATGCACAAATAGCAAATGGAAAAACAATCAGATTATAACTGAAACTGATTATTGAACAATCTGAATTGAAAATTCAAGTTCTTAGGCATAAGTGCATAACTTCATCTTATTTCAAGCACTAATCACAGTTATCAGCAACCAATACAAGCAGAAACAAAACGTAATGCATTGAATGATTAAACTACGAAACTGTATACTACAAGCATTGAAAATCAAATACCTTCTTCATATGTCCATTTCTTCTTTGCCTACAAAACTCGAGATACTGAAACCACAGCTCAATATCTCCTTTAAACCTATTCGTGGCCAACCGATAAATCTCAACGATCCTTGAAATTCCAGAAAAATCAGAAACAGACTGCTTCATCTTCGGCTTCTTTACAAAGCCTTCCCCGTCTTCACTCTTCTTTTCGAGCTCACGCAACATCGCTTTCTTACGGAGGAGACGGAGAGCTTCGAGAGATTTCTCGTAGTCGATGTACGCTAAGTAATCCTGTTTCAGAGGACTTGGACGTTTGAGTCTGTACTCAAACTTCCGGCGTTGTTTGACGATTTCGGCAATTTCACGGCGAGAGAACAGGCCACGGCGCTCAAGGTCGTCAAGCTCATTGACCATACGCTCGAGCTTGTATTGTACTACGTCCGCCATGATTACTGTGTCGGAGAGAGTGAAGAGCAGGTGGCGAAGGGTTTCCGCTCGTTAGGTTATCGACGACGACGGCGGTGTTGATGTATTTCCCACCTTACTTATAATTTTTTGATTACTGCACACTTGGCCCCTAAATGTTTCAACTTTTAAAGTTTAGCCCCAAACATTGTAGTTTTACCTATTTGACCACTCTTTTTAACCTTTAATAGCAACCCGGTCCTTGTTTATATTTCCATATATTAGACGGTGATCTATAATGATATTATGATAATTTTTGTATTTTTCTCTGTCAACATAGGTAAAATCGTAAAAGTTACACAGAAAAAAAATGAAATGTTCATCGTATGTTATCATGCCCTACGATGAGATTTTAGTGGTTGAGGTGCGGAATTCCATAAAAATCTAAGGTCCAAACTTAAAGACATTCAAAATATCGTTAGTGTTTTGTGATTGATCTCATACGTGAAGCTTAATACAAATTAACATGAGCCATCCAAATAGAATGATTTATGATTTTTATTGGTTTTGTGAGAATTAATGTACTACATGCTTAGGTTATCATATCTAACGAAAAAACATTAATGCATAACTTAGATGCAAATGTAAATTTTACAAGTGAGTTCTTATAAGAATGATCTTAAAAAAAGGAACATTTTAACACTTGCAAGAGGCATATGGGCCTCCGAGAGTCAAGTTTGTATCAACACTAGGTGATTTAGACAAAGAAGCAACAATCGCATCTTCATAGTTCTCCGTATCTTCATTTTCCTGTATTGATTAATGTAACGCTTCATGAGTTAATCGGAACCATTAAGTCATAGAAAAAGATAATAAAGAAAGGGAGGTGTATACGTTATAATTTGAGGTGAAACCACTAGCTAGAAAGTCTTTGTATATGACCTTGTTGCTTAGATATACATTAGTTGCTTCAGAAACTTGATTATAAACTTTGTCTTTTTCAACTTCGTGTGTTCCATGATAACTGTTGGGGCTTCCCTAAACATTTCAACCCAAATACAAATACAAGTTAGAATGGCATTGAATATCATTATTGGTTTATTTGTTTCTTTCATATGAAATGGAATAAGCTTGAGGAATGAGGTGTTAGACGATATGCATACGTGATGAAACTTGCTCTTAGGAGCATGAACGAATTGTTGGGAATGACTTAAAATCGAGCATTCCATTTGGCCTAAAACAATACTTGTCAATTTCTCGGGGTTCAACGCTAGTAACGGCTCATCGGCCATTTTCCTACATTATTTCAGTTATAGATATGTCAACTTAAGTATATTCTCTATAATCAATAATCAAGTACTTAACTCAATAGCTAATTAAATTGAAATTAAACAAGCAAAATATATAAATAATTACATGTTCATGGCCGATGTAGAGAAACTGTTGTGCTTATAGTATTGCTCATGAGGTCCAAGCCCCATATTGACCGATACCCCATGATAGTTGTAACGTTCAAGTCCTTTTGTTTTTGGTACATCTATCATATTGAAAAGGAACAAACATAATTAATTAATATAAATGTGAATCCTAGTCATACTTAATAATCACTTCAAATGTCTATGTGGAATGATTATAGTTCTAGTTATATTGTCTTATTGTTTAGCATAAATAAACTAGTTTATTATATATATATATATATATATATATATATATATATATATATATATATATATATAACATTACAAAACATTACAAAAGTACTTTATCATAGATTATAAAATAACTTATAAATTAAATTTATAATAAATCCGTTTGGATAATTTATTGATAAGCTAATTTATATGATAAATACTAGCTTACAAGCTAAAACCAAGTTTTTAGTATTTTCAAAAGATGTGAAACAAAACTAATTATTCAAAGAAAAACAAATTAAATTTACATATTATTCAACTTTTTAACCATAAATTAAAATCTTTTTTTCTTAAAAAATAAGTTAATAGATTCATATTTCTAATGGAGCTAACAATAATTGTCGGGATTAATGGATGAAAATTTTGTTAAACCTGATAAATAATAGGTGAGAAATATTATAATATTGGACAGAAATAAGTTTCACAATATAATTTTTAATAATTCAATATATAATGTCATTTTTTGTGTATTATATATATATATATATATATATATATATATATATATATATATATATATATATTTGTTTTTTAAAATAAACAGTTTTGCCTAATATACCAATTTAATTCCTACCTTTAAGAAACATGATTTCGTAAAACACACACACACATTTAAACAATATTGATATGTACGCATACCTTGTAGAATCACCTCGTTCTTCATGTTCCTATACATCTGCTAATTGATAAACCATATATATGTTTGAGTGTGATGTGTGCACATAGATACATATGTATAAGTATTTACATATACATATGTGAGATTAATATCACCTTATCAAATTCACTTACTACATACTGATTTTTCAAACAGATCATGTATTATTGCAAATCCATCTTTCATGTTTAAATATGCAAGAAATCACCAATATATGGATACACTTGCAAGTATACATGCACAAAATTGTATTTTTATGCTCCTTTCTTCAAAACGTTAACAGCTCAAACTGAATACTATGAGATATACTCCAATTTTTTAAACTTAATGAAGAACTCATGATACATATATGCACATACATGCATGTGTGTGTGAATGTATATATGAGATACTATATATAATTGACCTGAAGATGGCTCTTGATATGAGATACAGATAATCCTTTCACATTCATCGTCTGCAAGATCATCTTTGGAGTTGCTCCTATTCCAAAAAACGAAAACAATTAATGGAATGATCAATGATAGCAATATATACACACATACAGATACATACTATCTTCGCCTCCAAGTCTTTGAACTGCATTAACAAAGAACTGATGAAGTTCATCTGTCCATTTAAGTCTGGGAACCCTAGAGCGATTGTAAGACCGAACAGTTGGCTTCCTTAACTTTGAGGTATTTTCTGGCAAGTAACCATCCATCCTCCGGCAAACAACCCTAGATGAACCTTCACAAGAGTCTCCCATGGCTTCAATGAGCAATGGTAACTCTTTTTAAGATCTTTGATCACCCTTTACCCTCTTCATTTCTTACAGAGCATGATTAAATCAAATAAAGATCTCTTGATTTATGCAACAAAAAAGATTTCAAAAATCGTGATGAGTGTTGCAAACTTGTCCATTTCTCTGCCTTCTAACGTACCATTTTCTTTGAGATACCCCAGCTCAGAGAGTGACACTTGTATCATCCGTTTATTATATGGGATTTGAACGGATGGTTTCTAGGTTACAGAAAGATTCCGACCATTTTGTGGTACTATTTTCTTTGTTGAAAGGGTAATCAAGTCAATTGAGTTTTCAATTGTTGTGAATAAAGCTTACTTGTATACAGAATTTTCAGAGGTTTCAGACACTTTCAAATTTGCATTCATGTTGAAGATGAAAACATCATACATGGGTCAGTGTCAAAACATTCCCCTAGAAGCCAGAGCATAAAGAGACAAAGGACATTATAGACTTTTCACAACATGGTTATCCTTGATCCTTCTATAAAGATATAGATGTGTGTAGCTGAATATCTTAAAAACATACCAGTATATTAAAATGTTGGTCTGGTGCTTGCTTGTTTTTTATTATTTAGATCCTAATGACATATATATAGCAGTTTTGCTATTCGCTAATTTGGTAAAATACATAACCACAAGTGACCGTAACTGCCACAAGCACAAATGTAGCCGACAATTAGCCTATTCGATAAACCTAAGTCATCCGAAACTACCCCCGAGCCCGGTCCGGAAAACACAGCTGCAAAAAGCATTAATGAAAGCCGACATATATATTGCGGCCAATACAAGGAACCGGGTCTAAGAGAAGACGGATGTCAATATGGAATGAGATCAATATACTTCCTACAAAACAAACATTTATAATGAAACAACAATAATACGACTTATGGAAAGCCTCGAGAACACAATCACGAAAGAGGTATCCCCAAATATACCACAAATCGACACCACTCCCCATAACGATCCACGTATCAGTAGTCAGATCTGTAACACCCTCACGTTGATCCTGAACTCTTCATCTAATACGTGTTGTAACACCCCATTCTTTTCACCTTTAAAATAATATGGTTTTAAACAGGGTCGACCCAATAAGTGCCAACCTAGGTGACCAACCAGGGAAAAGTTATGAGGTGCCCCAAAATTTTCAACAAATAAAAAAGAAAATCATAAAAATATAGGCCAAACTCTGAAACGACAAAGAGGAGAGGAGGATGTGATCGATATAGCAAAGAGAACGAGGCAATCATCAAGGAAAATCAATAAATGAATATCTTTAAAGTCATCAAGGCAAATCAAAAAAACCTTCAGAGTACTACCTATTAGTTCTTAAAACCATGCATTGGGCAAATTATTATTTCAGTATTGTTTTCTAAAATATCTTTAATTTTGCCAAGAAGTATCAAATTTTTCCTAAATTTCAGGTTTTTATGATTTGTTTTCACAAAATTTCCAAAATCAAATACTAGTAGAGCTAATTGAGTATGTCGCGTCTTTTGGTGAATTAGTGCTTGCAAATTTTCTGATATATTCTAGGAAGGATTGTGATGAAGCTTGACCCTCCTTTGATTAGGAATGTGCCAATCATCTTGAACTATTCTACATTTGACTTTATATTACTCCAAGTTTCTTATGGTGCCTTGTTCGATCTTCACGAATGAGATAGGACTTTTGTTATGTAAATGTGTGGTCCAGCGAGTGGCTATACCGCAATCTTTTGGTAGTTATTGGAGATATGCTCATTGATACAACAAGTGAGTGACACATGAAATAAATATATGAGTCTATTGGGTTACACACAAGGTTTAATCTAAAAGAAATAATAAATAATCAAAAGGACTAGTTTATTATGCATCAATGGCTCATGAATTAACTAGAAATTAAAAGAGATGGACCTTACATGTAATAAAGTTTTAAAGTTTGAGATAATACATTATTACCATAATTAAGCAAACTTGCATAGAAAGATAATTCCTAGTGTTTATGCATTATATGTGGAATGGAAATCCTAGGTATTTGGCGACGTAAACACACACCCAAGTAAGGGTGTTTTGATCTTGCTTTTTCATATAAAAAAAAGACGACCAATATCTTTCTTGCTTGCTTAGGATGGCAACTTTGGGGTGTGATGTGATAGAGAGACTCTATTTTGGTTATTTTGGCTCTTCATGATCTTCATTAAAGGTAAACACGAAAGAGGCAATGAGAAGGAATTTTTTTAATGGGAGGAAGAAAGGAAAATGTTATGGGTTAGTTGGGATAAAGTGTTAGCTACAAAGGACAATGGTGGTTTAGGAGTTGTCTCTTATTTAGCTATGAATCGAGCCTTGTTATTCAAATGGATTTGGCGGTTTTTGTCCCATAAGGATGTGTTTTAGGTTAGAGTGGTTATAGCTATTTATGGGAGTAATGGTTATTTAGATTGCATTGTCCTAGCTTCCAAGAATTATGTTTGGCTTAATATTATTAAGATGCTTTCTTGCCTTAAAGATAAGGGGTGAATTTTCTTGCTCAATGTAAGAAGAGGATAGGAAATGGTTGACATACGAAATTTTGGGAAGATGTTTGGCTTGGGTAAGTTACTTTGCATTCTCGTTTTCCTAGGCTTTATCTTTTAGAAGGCTTAAAAATATGTGACGGTTGCAAAAAAAATGAATCTGTCTTTGGTTTATTTTTTCGTCGGATGCCTTTGGGTAGGGCAAAGAGTGCCCACGAATGTGCTATCAGTTCTCTTTTGCAATCGGTTTCTTTGGTGTCTATAGTGGATAGATATGTGTGGTCTTTAACTAGCTCGGGAGACTTCCCGTTTGGTTTTGCTCACGCTTTTTTAGATACTTATATTTTACATTTGGCCTTTGTTGCTACTTAGTGGGTTTCCTTTGTTGCTCTTCGATTGAACCTATCCTTAGGGAAACCACTCAACTCCTTTCCCTCGATCCTCTGGACTACGACGAATTTGTTAGAATCATGATTAAATTCATCTCGAGACACCCCATCGTGATTCCTCTCACCAAAATCCGAAACCCTAACTTCCCTCTTAGGTTGTTGTACAAATCCTTTGAACTTGTTAACTTTGAAGATGGAGTCTTCAAGGTCAAGATCACAGATAATCGAATTGTACATGTTCATAAAACAACCTTCCTTCATGCAATTCGAGTTGTAGAAAACCCTCAAGGTTTTTTACTGCAGGAACCCACAATTAAAGAATTCTAATCTTTTCTCACTCAGATCGAGTACAAAGGGGAATTCAAAGCAAAGGAGTTTAAGAAGTTGGCGGCTCCCGGTATATGGACCATTCTGATGCACCTCATTCTCAGATGTTTGTCTGGAAAGCACGATGGAACGGACACAATGATCAAAGATTGGCTATATGTCGTCTACATCATCTTCACCGGCCGATCAAACGTCGTTGATCTACCGGAGGTCCTTTGGCAAGCTAGACTTCAAAAAATTCACCAAGAGAGTTTCCGAGTACAAGATTTTGGGCTCTGAAACTACAACGACTATACTCCGAACGAAGTGAGGCAATTCCTCTCAATTCGTACATCCGTGAGGTATATTTTTCCTTCAAAACAATTAAAACTTACATGTTACCTAGTCAAGATGCTTTCAGAGCTGTCCGATGACTTCCTCAACACATGTTGGATATTATTCCTTCCGATTATCCACATTTGAAACAACATCTAGAGACTGCGTTTATGTTTGACCCAACGCAACTTGCCCTAGTATCGGATGAATTAGCCTGGAAAGACAATAAATCAACTGGATTTGAAGGCCGAAAGAAGAAAATTGCCAAAAAGCAAAAGGCGTCCCCTTCATAACATAAGGCCAAAAAGAGAACCAAAACCGGTGAATCCTCTCAAAAGGATTCACAGATCAGATCTAGACCTGACTATGGTTCATTGCTTACCCCACCCACCTACTCTTCTGAAGTACCCTTCAGAGTTTCACAAAAACACATTGCACACACTCACGGGGATTTTGCTCATGATCTACCCTCACCCTCCCAAAAGGGTGGTGTTAGTATTGAAGAAAGTCCCTTGAAGCCCCCTGGGACACACTCACGAGTCAAATTGAATCACCCTATCTTTTTTACACATGCAAACTCACAAGTCAAATTGAATCACCCTATCTTTTCTACACATGCAAAATATGTGTCCCCTGCCACAGATTCCAAGCTTCCCGAGACAAGAGTAGTCCCTCCCACCTCGGAAGCCTCAACCGATATGTAACACCCGGAATCTAGAAGGTTAATTGTGGAATTATGTCAATTTCAAGTCGAACTCGGCGAGCTGGAGGAGCCACCTCGACGAGTTGAAGATGAAGAATCGTGAGGATTTAATGGGTCTACTCGACGAGTTGATGAGCCTCAACTCGGCGAGTAGAGGTTGTTTTGGTCTCGAGGTTAATGAGACAACTCAGCGAGTTGAGGAGCCAACTCGATGAGTTGAGCGATGTTTAGGAAACCCTAATGTTGAGGTTTTGCACCCTATTTAAACACCTTAAGTTCTAGGTGTTGGCGTCATTTCCATCCTCCATAGCCCCTAACCGTAATCTCAAAACCCTAGAGCCTCCAAGAGTGTTGTGAGCCCATTGTATGTGTTTTGGTGTGTGTATGAAACTCATTCAAGGAGGAGAAGCTTGGTGCAAGGTGGTGGTTCAAGAAGGAGCTCATAGATCTTGATTCTCTCCCCCGTTTCCAACATATTTTGGGTATAAAGTTCTAACCTTGCTTAGTATAGGCTTATATCTCTTCTTGGATTTATTTGTATGCTTTTAGCCATGGTCGGGTGATTGTTGAGGAAGTAGAAGTCCCAAGTGTTTATCCTTTCCAGATCTATGATCTTCATGAGCTCTGTTGGCCTAAAGGTGCCAACTTTATGGTCCTAGGGGCTTCATGCATTCATTAAGTCCTTCTTTTGGTCTCTTTTAAGCTTTTGAGCTTCTTCTAATCATGAATAAGTG